TATATATATATATATACATACAACTCAATCTTTTATACATGCAATCTCTTACAAGTTTTAGCTTGCCGAAAAAAGCGCGTTTTTTGACAAAAGAAAATCGAATTTTCCGGAGAAAATGGAATATGATAACAGCAAGGACACGTTACGTTAACGGTTAATGCCAAGGCGCTCTTCCTTCTGTCATCATCGGCCACGATGTAATCTACTCCAACTAAATGAGTTTTGAGTTTATTGATGAACGCGTGTAATAACTAAAACGTGCACTCAGATAGATGTATTCTCGATATATTAATATGGTGCGAATATACGTGCACATGAGGCCCCTGAGGTCTTAGCCAGCCTTACGCAAGACCCATCACACTGGTCCCAAGGAGGAGGGACCCGATTGCCGGATAGTGAAAGCAGCCGAGGCGAGCCAGACAAGTCGACAGATCGATCAGACGTTCGAATTGGAAACCGTCATGATGACGATCTGTTAATTAGTTTAGACTTTCTATGAATCAATTGTTTCTAAAATATAATACTAGAAAAACATAAGAAAAATAATATATATATATATCTTGTTTAATAAAGAAATTATATAGTATCCTATGCTTCATTTTCTATTGATATTGATAATAATAGATAAAGAAAAGAAAATACATATTTTATCTTATTTAAGAAAGTATTTACATTGTATATCATGTTTCATTTTTTTATAGTAGTATATTTTTATATCGTGTTTTTTAGCTTTTATTTTATAAATGTACTAGGAACGGAAAATTTATTCTGATCGAATTTTTCGCATTGCAAGCAAAATGTAAATTGTGATATTGTATATTTCGTCAAGCGCTTCACGAATTATGTAAAGAGAAAGGTTGCTATCAGGCAAATGAAGAGAAATTGTTAGCTTGGAAAACTTGTTCGTAGCATGTTGTTTATTGTGCACCGTAAATCTCGCCAAATCGTCAAATAGTTCTTATAAATAGTTTTTCAATATTCAAAAGTATATAAAATATAAGAAGTATAAAACAAATTTTTAATATTTCACTACAACGAAAATTGCGAAGCAAATACGATGAACTACAAACATTCATTATTTTGTAATTTGTTACAATTCATTTGGCTTTGCTTTTATTAATGTATCAAAAGTTCTCAAAAGTAAATGCGACTGAAGGCATAACATCTATAACGTCAGATGTTGCAATGTAATCTTATGACGAATGGGTTAATTAATTCTCACGCTGACATTTGACTCGCCGGAGTGAAATCCAGGATACGTTCGAAGAAGTGATTTTGCGAGTATATTTCGCGATGTATTCTGGAGTATTGTGGAGTGAGGAGATTTTCGACGTGCAATCTTTCGTGTCAGAGAAAGTCATGCTCATTGTAACACACGATAAATATTAATGATTTGACTTACATGATACTAGCAGTTAATATTGAATGTATTATATCAATGGACAAATTCGATAATTATTATACTTTATTAAAGTAATTTTTGAATTTTTGAATTATAACTTAAATTCTTTTTTTTCAATTTAAAAAGATTTAAAAACTAAACGATGTTCTTTATATTTAATAATAGTAATTCCTAATCTATTAACAAGAATCCTATTTATTTTATTCTTAATATTTTTCTGATAATAATACATTATACATTTTATTATTAAAAATATTAATTTAGGAAACTCTAAATCTTTTCGCATTTTTAGCTTAAATAATTAAATTATTTTTGTCAAGAATATTTTTCAGGATTTAAGAGAATATTATTTAATATTATTATTTTTGTAATTTTTGTAAAATGATCAAATGTTTTACAATGTTTGATTATTTTATTATTCTTTTATCTTGTATAATTCTCACATACGATAGAACTCGCATGAACATTTTTAATACTTTTGATAAAATGAAAAGATGAAACTCCATTAAATATTATTTTAATATAAATATTATCTTTTTTATATTACTTTTATATTTAAGAACTAGAAGAATTTAAGTTTTATTTTTATTATTATTATATGTATAATTAGAGGGACGAAAATAAATATTGAATTTTATGTTTAAACAATACATCATTATGTTAAGTAAATTTTAATTTTATTATAAAAACAGTTAATAACCAATTAAAAAGTTTTGACTAACTTATAAAAATCTCTAAAACAAACTTTAGATCTGTTGACTCCAGATTTGTAAAAGAATTTGTAAACAAATTTCTGGTCATACTCTACATAAAATATACATAATTATTAAGTAATAACATATAATTTTTACATTTATTAAAAATGATATTACTAAAAGACATAACATTTTCAAAGTGAAAGACTTATTTCCCCATTAGAATATAATAAATAAATTCCATTTCTTCAAAGTTATTTAATTGCGGAATTACGGGCGACTGTTTTGCGTTCATGTGCTTTTACAATAAAATTTCGACATAATCGATAATTATATAAAATTGGACCGGTTTGAGCGGAGGATTTATCTAACAGATATTATATAGAACTTGATATCGTCAGCGGGGTTTTCTTTTCGCGGGCGCGGATTAATGATCCGCAACGGCTTTATTACACATTTTCCGAATGCAAATTTGTTTACGTAAAAGGAGAAAGGGGTAGTGATTCGTCGCGGGGAGGGCGAAAGCGCGATCACTCTCGCAAAGATCATGCAGTGACTTTTACATAAGCATGCATATTACATGCATTTATTGTTCCTATGGGTAAAAAGATGAGCATTACACACGTTGCGATTAACTGTGGCACCCTCGCTTCTCCAACTCAATTCTTACGCTTGTAATAGTCCTCGCTGAAACATTGCATTTTGTTATAAAGAACAGTATTTGATGTATTTTTCAAAGTAATAAATAATTTTGAAATTTAGAAAAGAATATTAAAAACAAAGAGAAGTTAGCAAGCAATTATCGACATTTATAATTGACAAAGAATTAAGAACAAGTATTGAGAAATCGATTAAGAACAATAATTGAAAAATCGATCTTAAAATTGATAAGAGAATTTGTTATAAAAAATACACAAATTAGTTACTCTGTATGTATATTATATTTTATATTCTTTATATTACAGAGTAATTTATAATTTGTGTATTTTTTTAACAGATTCTCTTGTAAATTTTTCTTATAAATAATATAAAGAATTTTTTTAATATAACGATCTCTTATAAATAATGTAAAGAATATAAAAATAAAAGAAACTCACCATCCCTGCACGGATTCTGGTTCCGTGCACCTGAAGCTGTCCTCATTGTACACGGTGCCGGGCTCGCATTGGCCCTTCTGCGGTACTACACCGTTCTTGCAGATGTAGAACTTGGCGCAATCCTCGGGATGCGGATACGTGGGATGCGGCAAGATTCTGCCAGACGGGCCGGCGACGTCGCCGTCCGGGCATACAAAGCCATCGTCCAGGACATCGCGTTTTGCATTCTCGCATAGACGAGTGGCGTCTGCCGGCCAGACACAGCTCGACATCTTGGGTTCATAGATTAGTCCGGGCGGACAGGGCACTACTTGCACTACTCCATCGATGCAATTGACGAAACGATCACACGCAGTCGGGTCCTCGTGGCTAAAAATGCCGTTTGCCCGCGGGCAGCCTTTGCTTGGTTGCGGCTCCTCTATTCAATTATATAATATATTATTATGCGTATAATACTAGTTCATATATATTATTTTTATTAAGTTTTGTATTAGTCTCTCATGTATATTAATTATTTTATAATTGTGATATAGTAGTTTCTATCGAGGTTTGTCTTGAAATTTACAATTACAAATAAAATATATATTTTTTTTAATTTTAGCGATTAATCACTAGAATGATTAATGTTTAATATAGATATCGATTTCTATAGCAAAGATTTAAAAAATTATACAAAATATTTTTAACAAATATTTTTACAAAGATAAACTTGATTGTAATTTTATTAAATTTATTTTGTG